AAAAAAAAAAAAAAAAAAAAAAAAAAAAAAAAAAAACAAACTTGGCATTCCTTAAGGGGCCAACTTAGGTCGCCTCTATTTACCATATATATGCTCCTCCCCTAATATAGACCTAATTAAACAACATAAGTTGCCATAACTATGCAGACAACACACAGCTTTACATTAGAATGTCAGTAACTACAGTATCAACCCATAATAGGGCTGGGTAAAGGCAAAGAGGAAAACAATGCATGGATGTGCAAAACCTTTCTTTAGCTGGTTCAGAGTGAAAATAAAGGATTGATGAAAATAAAGTAATGATGGACTCAGAGCAGAATCTCCAGAGGGAGATAAAGACTGCAACACAGCTGGACTGTCACCTAAAGAACATCCCCAGGATTGAAAGAGTGATATCTCAGCAGGACCTTGAAAAAATGAATTATGTCTTCATATTTAGTAGAATTGATACTACAGTATCGTCACATGTCTGCCTAAAAAATTGATCAGCCAACTGTAGCTGATCCTGATTACTGCTGCAGGCGTCCTCACTAAAACTAAGAAACTGGAGCACATCACCTCAGGGCTAAAATCATTGCACTGACTCCCTGTATCTCAGAGAATAGACTTCTGTTAGTCTAATAACCCCTTTGTGTTGTTATCACATAAATCTCTGAACAATATATTCCTAAATAACTTAAATATTTGGACAAAACACATTTACGAAAAATATAATGAACATTATAAAACAGTTTTTGGTGAAACTCTTCCTGTTCCAAATAACAATTTCACATATATAGTTATATTTCATTGCATCTCATCTCCTTTCTTCCATCTGATTCTCATTTCTCTAACAACACTTTGTTGTAAATGCTTTTATTTTTCGACATTTATCTTTTAAAGTTGTTTTTTTTTTTCTTTTAGCTTTTTTAGACTTTCTAGACAACATCATAAATCTATAAAGATTTACAATATTCACTTCATTAAGTATTAAATGGGAGCGTTAATATTAATGGGGCCTTGGCAATATCTGGCATGTTTCAATTTGCATAATCCACCACTGTTACAGACGCTTTAACACAATTTAACAATATTTAACACAAGCTGTAACTAAAAAAGAAAAAAAAATCCAGTATTATCAGTGCATATTGTTTGCAGTTTATCTGTGTGTGTGGCCAAGTATCTGTTACCTTGTGGGTGCAGTGCAAGGCCAAATTCCCAGGAATATGCTGCTTTGTTGGGACATAAATGACATTTTGGAAAGAGGAACATTTTTATTCATTAGGTTTAGGACTACGGTGTGGATTGAGTTTAAGGTTGGTAATAGATGGGTTTCGAGTAAATCCAAAGAGATAAAGGTGAAATGAATGCAAGTCAATACAAAGTCCCCATAAGGATAGCAGGATATAACGCTTGTGTGTGTGAATCATGGGGCAAAGTTTCCTGAGCTCTTTAATGTTTAACAGAACAGTTCTGGATGACATCACTGTATACCCGGTGCAAGGAGAGAAATGGTATGGCTGAAATGCTTCCTCTTAGTGTGTTTATCCACAGGAACACCAGACTGAGGTAAGAAAAATGAAGGGATCTTATTTTATGGGTGTTTATTGCACGTTTATGATAACTTAACAGTAGAAATCAAGCTTTCTGCCCTGTGGGAAATAACCTAGAAACACTGACGGTGCAAAGGATCGCTGTAGATGCTCTATGCTACCATTCTAGGTGATTGGAGTATTTTTCATTGTGTTAAAACTGTGACTTGTATTTTTATGCAAATGTAAGGTTTACAGTTTTGTTCACCAATGTTCTTAACGGTGCACAGCATTGGGGAGTATTTAGACAGGAAATTACTATTTGATTTCACGGGTTATCAGCAGGCAAAGAAGAGGGAAAACATCAGAGGAAAGTGCAGGACAGGTTTTACATCATTTGTACTCCTACTTTCCAGATTAATGCAAAATGTGATGTTTTTCAGAATAATGTGCATCGATAGTTCATTATGTTAGGAACCAAGATAATATGGTAGATATTTTTATGAAATAGGTAGAAACCTTTTTAAAGGTTTATAGTGAGTAGTTTTTTTTTGTAATTTAACATAAAATCAGTTCAGTCAATGTACGTATATAGATATATAGAACCTGTTTAGGAATACGGTGTTGTCAAAGTTATAATCTTGTAAATTCTCAGTCAATCAATTCATGTGAAATCCGATTTAAACTTAGAAATATTTAGCCATGAGCTAATCTTCTATCAAAAATCAAGTCAGATCAATAGCCAGCCAGTTTCCCTTGATATTGACCAATCAGCACATGGGGCATTAGATATTATTGGCTGATGTTTAACTGGTGCAGCCCTGTTTGGTTGTGTGCATTGACTTCATCTGCTATCTGCAGAAATCCTCACAGCTTAACCTTTTGTATTTATATCAGTCGTGCTTTTGGAGTGTTCTTTATTTCATATTTACTCTGTGAAAATGGAAAGCCTAGGTGTGTTGCAAAGTTGTTAGGAGTTAATGCAGTAGAACTGGTGAACTGTACTCACGACTAACTTTAATTTAAATAAGAATCAACCATTCACCATAAAGGCAGAGATACTGTAACATTAATGAATATTACCCTGGAATGTCACATTGCCACGGTCATGGATTTTATTAAAATTAAAGTAATGTAATCTAAAGAAAGCTTAAACCAAATGTTATAGAAATGTCAAACTCAAGCAGTGTTCCTTACAAAATAAATCTCATAATAATGCTGTTTTAAGTCTGAAGCAGGAAATCCCAGCTAAAAAAGTCGCAAGGAGTCTGACTGCTGACAGATAGAGCTTAAACTACATTCCTAAAGAGGTTGTTATGGTTAAAGGGGAACAACCAACTCTGAGCAAAAGGCAGAAAAGGTTCAAGTTAATTATAAGTAGCCACATAGTAGATGATATAAAAGAGGATGAAGATTATTGGATGGAATGATGGAATGATGGATGGATGGATGGATTAATGAATTAACGGTTGGATAGATTGATCGAGGGATGGATGAATTCATGGATGAATGGGTGGATGGAGGGATAAATGAATGAATGAATGAATGGACGGATGGATAGAGGGATAGGTGGATGGATGGATGGATGAATGAATGGATGGATAGATTAATCGAGGGATGGATCGATGCATGGGTGGATTGAGGGATGGATGGATAAATTAATTGGATGAATGTATTAATCGAGGGATGGATGGATGCATGGATGGATGTATTGATGAATGAGTTGAGGGATGGATTGATCAAGGGATGGAGGGATGTATGGATGGAGGAATGGGTGGATGTATGGATGGATCGAGGGATGGAGGGATGAATAGATAAATTGAGGGATGGATTGATCGAGGGATGGATAGATGGGTGGATTAATGAATGGATGGATGAATGGATGGATGGATGGATGGATGGATGGATGGAGGTATGGATGGATGGGTGGATGGATGGATGGATGGATGGATGGAGGTATGTATGTATGTATGTATGGATGGATGGATGGATGGATGGATGGATGGATGGATGGATGGATGGAGATATGGATGGAGGGATGGATGGAGGTATGTATGTATGTATGGATGGATGGATGGATGGATGGATGGATGGATGGATGGATGGATGGATGGATGGATGGATGGATGGATGGAGGTATGGAGGTATGGATGGATGGATGGAGGTATGGATGGATGGATGGAGGTATGGATGGGCAGAGGAGTGGATGAATGGATGTGNATGGAGGTATGGATGGGCAGAGGAGTGGATGAATGGATGTGTTTTAAAGTAAAAATGAAATCTATTTCACATACAAAATGTATAAAAGTTAGATGTTTTTAAAAGGAATACATGCTTAAAAAACCCCTAAATGTTTTATGCAAAGGGAAGCATGAATTTTTGAATCCAAAAATGTTCCTGCAGTAAAACCCTATGGATATTTTAGCTAAATCTTTTCTTCTCTGCTACCTTCTGGCCCTTTGGTTAAGTGTTTTTTGAAGATTAGAGCTGGATCTTAAGGGGTCCAGTGTAATTTTGTTTCTCTGATAAAATGAGTCGATATTTTTAGGGGCTGTAATGTTGCTGCTGGTCCCTGAAGGTGTTTTGTGTATAAGAGCCCTAAGGCCTCTTTTTTGCAAAGAGCTCTGCTGGTGCAGATTAGAAAAAAAAATGTTGGAGTGTGAAGCAGCTGTTTATTGTTTTAAAATTTTTTGTGTGACTTTGCCAAACTCAGCTACTGTAGAGGCATTATGCAAATGTGCTTCATGCAGATATAAACAAGTAAGGCAAGAATAGTCTGGACTGTCGAGCAGGCATTCAGGCATTGGGATATCTTTAACTTTAGAACAAAAGAAAAGAATACATGCATACATAAATACAAATAATCCCCATAAGTTTTTATTGGGAAAAAATAAACTCGATCCGCTGGATGTTTTGTGATTTTTACTTCCTCTTTTCACCTCAGAAAAAATCAACTTTATTACAGATTTTGACATAAGTTGATGTAGAGGATGTAGAAGCAGATTTGTGGGGAATTTAATGGCTACAACCTATAAGGTCATAAAATTGTCATGGTGCTTTAAAAAAAGTAATTATCCCAAAATATCTTAAAAACAATCTGAGTAAAAGCAAAGAGCAGTTTCAAATAATGTATAATTATTAATTAAAAAATATGCCAACAATAAAATAAATATAAAAAAATTGATAAGACCTAACCAAGGCTGATTACTGCATAGAAGAATCAAACAACCAGGTACTTTCATGCAACTTGAAGTAGGCCCAAAGATTAAAAAAATAAATGCTTCTTGGCCCTCTGTAAAACAAAATCTGATGAAAAATATGTGGTGAGTATAAAATGTTGACTTTTTTTTTCTTTTTGTAGGATGGCCTGTAAATAAAAAGCTGACTTTTCAAACATGGATATTCTTCCTCTTTTAGTGCTGCTTCTTTCATGCCAGAGTGAAGGTGAGAGTTCAGCAAATATTTTCTCTTGTTTTCCAAGGAAATCTGTTACAGGCTCCTTTTAACGAAATTTCAACAAGCTTAAAAAAGTTTATCCAGAGTTTAATCACTAAATTGCATTTCATAAATAAACCGATTCTAACTACCTGGTTCCGCTAATTAATGTCCAAACACTTTACTAATACTTTAACATCATGGCATTCATCATTTGGTGGGACAATAAGATTGCTTAATTCCTGGTAACTTCATTCTGTGACTTACATATTGATTAATTTGGCTAATATTTTATTTAAGTTTGCTTCCTTATTAATTCATTTCACCTTAATATAATCTGTAAGTCTGGTGTTTTTTGTGAATGCGTTTTTGCCACATCCAAAATACCTCACTGTGGGACAATAGAGTTGTTTCCGTTCTATTCTAATTCGGCTAAATAATATCTTAGAAAATTGAACATACTCTCATTTAATGCATGAAAAATCCACAATGGTCATAGAAATGATTTGAAACTGATAAAAATGATAATAGATAAAATTTATGAAAGTTAACGAATATAAGTCAGACCTTGCTTTTCATACATGCCTCAACAGAATGCTTTAAAAAATAAACTCATTAAAGAGGGCTGTACAAAATGGATGTAACCCTTAACTTAATATTTAGTTGCACAAGGCTTGGATACCCAAGGCTAAAGAGGATAAACCGGACCTGTCCTTCAAAACGGGTAAAAAGAAGGCTGCGTTTGTGGGCTGCATAATGAGGAGCCCTCCAGTCTGAACAGGCCACAACGCTGCGCTGTTTTGTAATTGGGCGACAAATCTCGCTGCCCGAGGACACAGCCACAGGATCAGAACACACCAACAGTCTCTTAGGGAAATTTAATCACATTGACTTCCATCTTTATAATGAACGGGGAAAGTGAGAAGTGACGTATGCCGTAAACCAGTCTACACATTTGTAGTTGTTTTGTATGGCAGGGTTACTCCTGCACAAAGTTGCCTAGTGTAGGTGAAAGCGATACAGACTCCCTTAGACCATGACAGAGGTGTCATTCAACTGGTTGTAAGTCGACCTATAATCACAAATATTATGAAAATATTTCAGGAAGTTTAAAAAAGTGACTTAGTGTTGGCTTAATCTCTTTATTGATTGTTTTTTAGTTGAGCTCCTTGGACATGTCTAAGAAGGCTGACAACTATGTCATTGTTCCCAAATATCTGGATAATTTTTAGCTGTACTCACGGAAGAGGGTCTTATAGCCTTTACCTTTAACACCCTTGTCTATATTTTCCTTTCTCACCTCCTGAGACAACTCTTTCCTTCTCTTTCTCTGGTCCATGTTGAGTGTGGTACACACCATGATGCTAATTAGTGGACACAGCTTGATTCAAAATGTCTCCTTGGTCCCATTGTTTTAATTTTTTCTAGGGATTAAAGCGCTTTTGTGCAGGCCTGTTTTATTATTTTATTTTTCTAAATCATTCTATTAAAGATTGATTTAGAAATCAATTGGCTTCTCATATTCAAGTTATTAAATGTGACCATTGTGTGTTTTACTTTTATTAAACAACAGTTACCAACAATTTTGTTTACATGTGAACATTCAAAGATGGTTCTTAAGTGAAAAAAGCAGCCCTTTAGACTACTGCAAAAGTAATGGACCTTTTAATGATGGAGCGAAAACTGTAAATTCAACGCCCATTATTCCAACATACATTCACTACTCAGTGCAGGAGTGCTTTAAAAGCAACATGCATAAATACCCCTGATGTGACTCAATTATTGACTTAGCAGCACATGAGACAAGGTAGAAATAATCAAATGCTCCAATAATAAAAAGGCTTTAATCACTTTTTCAAAAACCAAACAAACTAAAAATCACTTTATGCTGATTCAGGTGTGACTGAATCAGTAAAAAGTGTCATTTATGCTAACTTAAACAAACCCAAATATTACTTTGTGCCCTCTTGGTGAAATTAAATGGCACAAAGATTCATAAAGTTGCTAATCTGCCTTTTAATGATGGATCAAAGTGATGTTTGAGGAGTAAATAAAAAGCATATAATAGTATTGAAAGTTTACAATTCTTACCAATTGCTTTGTAGAATATTACACCCTTTCAGTATTCTTTGTTAAATATGCTTGTTGAATATAGAATGCATATTAAAGTGATATATGTTGCTCTGGAATATGTCTTTATCAGTAAGAACACAGATGACTCTGACCCCTGCAAGCCTCACGGTCGTCCGAGGAGATGAGGCCAAATTCACTTGCAGCACCTCCAACACTCTATGGACTGTCATGGTGTGGCTTCTAGGGGATAGACCAGTACTAACTATCTCCAAGCAGAACGGAGTTTTGCCTTCTGTCAACCCAAACGTGACGGCTGTGAAATGCTCCAGCTCAAAAACAGACTGCTGGGAGTTTATACTGAAGAGGACAGAGAGGGACAGCCAAGGACAAGTTGTGTGTGATTTGCAACAGATTGATAAAAGGACAGCAGCGCTGTTCTTACAAGGTAGGTACATTCATCCTGTTTAAATCTAAGCTTAGCCACAGTTCAAAAGTTTCTGCGACCTCTTGACAGGGTTTCTCCCGATTTGTCCTGCCTTCAGCTTCGTAAAGCTTCCCATGCCACCACCACCATGTTCAACTATGAGGATGGTGTGTTTAAAGGCACACTATGCAACATTTTTCAGTTAATTAATGTGTTCCATAACGTTTTGGATGATTAAATGAGTCATTTCAGGTTGAACAAAGGTATTCTCGGCCGCCCTGGTGGTCTGTGGGGGAAATACTGCACTTGCAATTGCAGGAGCACCGACCCGCACCCACAGGCTCAGAAGTCTCACGAGAGTCAGTCTTGCTTTACGGCGAGAACTGCTACACCCCCCAGTTAAAAGCATTCTCGTTGCTAGCACAGTGGCGATCTTTGTGCAGTTATGCTACGTTCACGCAGCAAAAGCCTCTGGCCGGGTCACCTCCTCGCGGTTCACCGCGGCAGCTGGTAGGTGTTTTTCATCTAAATAATCCAAAATGCATATTCTGCCGGCAGATTTCTGCATTTTAAGTTAATTTAGGCGTCAATAAACTGTTTAAGAGGAGAGATCATAGCCTCTGATCATCAGCGCTGTGTCTCTCTCCCTGCGTCAGATGATTAAACGCGCCTTTCAGCTGCTCAGACGCGCTGCACCTGCTGCTCAAAACGCGCCGCGGGACCTTTTGCTGCGCCTTGACACGCGTCAACCATTGACTTTGCATGTAAACTCGCTGCTTCTGTCGCGCCAGCTGCGGTGTGAACGCAGCATTAGTCATTTGTTGCGTTCGCCTGTCTGCTAAGCTCAAAACAACCGCGCCTGGCTTGACGGAGAAACCAGGAGAACAGCTGTGCATATTTACGACAGTGCACTTTTACTTTCGCCCTCTGGGGGGAGCCTCGCTGGAAAATCAACACCGGTTGCATAGTGTACCTTTAAAGCCGGGCATACAATGTGCGATATTTTCAATCGTTGCACACAGCTACTACCCAAACTGTACGCCGAAACCACAGGGTTTAAATGCATGTTCTCGCACTGTGCGACCCGACGCTCTGATATGCGATCTACCTGCTCACACTACACGTCCAAAAACCACACGTCTGAGTGCCAAGAGATGGTACTGCTCGGACTTGTCAATCTGGAAGAAGAAGAGGAACTCCCTTATTTGCACATGTGCAGTGCTCCGGGTTCTGGTAAATTGGCTTGTAGCTCTGCTACACCAGCAGCATTTGTCCACGAACACCTCACGGCGGCCGACTGCATTTAAACATGTTTGATTTTCTCTCAACCTTACGATTCCTGATCGGGAGGTGGTCGTGTGAGGCTAATCGCTCCTCATTATCCCATGTATAATATACAACGCAGGAGGCACGATCAGGCTGAAATTCGGCCCGATTGAAAAGAATTCTTGCACGACTGGAGAATCGGCCCGAAAAGGGCAAAAAAGTCGTACAGTGTATGCCCGGCTTAAGGTGCAGCTCTGGTTACTCACTTCTATTCTAGCATATTCCACATAATTGCTGTTCCCCCTATGTGACTTGCCATTTTCCTTCAACTTCCACAGTAAAACCCTATTTTTTGTTGGTTGATAGACATCCCAATAAAACCAGTTGAGGTTTGCAACAGCTTTTTAGTTATGTACACTTTTACAGGCACAGTATTCCTCTATGTGTTAAAGGGGAATGCCGTTTTTTTTTTTTACATTGGGCCCTTGATTTCACATTATTACATCATGTTCTACTCACCCATATTAGTTTTATGACGATGACGTCATACACACTCCGTATATAAATATAAAATACAGTATATAACCGCGGATGTCTGGGGGACAGTGATTCGCCTACATGTTATGAATGCTGGCGTACCATAAATGATAAATTATGAATAGTTTAGTTTGTGCCTTCAACTCATTGCCCATAGGAAGACGCTACTTGGACATAACCTAACCGAATATCTTCAGAACAGCTCCAAATGACACAAAACTCATATCGGTGAGTAGAACATGATGTAATAACGTAAAATCAAGGGCCCAATGTAAAAAAAAAAACGGCGTTTCCCTTTAAGCAAATTCAGTAAGTCTCCATTTTTAAATGACTGTAAATTAAAGGTTCTTGTTTTTTTTGTGTGTGAATCTCTCAAACACACATAAGGACACACACCATCTTGCCCATAAAACAACAAGCAGATGGGAAGTTGTATCTAAAAAAAATCAGCTCCATGTGAAAGAGTCCAGAAACACACTGAATTTAACCCTGATGAAGCAGAAGGCAGCTTGGGTAAAAACTGAGGTAAAAGAAGGGACACAGGCAAAGTTGTGCTGCAGCTTTAATTCTGCCTGCCCACGCTCCCCCTTCTTTTCGAAAAAACATGGCATTCAACTTGCACTTCTTAAGTCCTTTTCTTTGAACTCACTTTGAGGCTTTTTGTTTTCGAAGAAGGAAACTGAACGTACATGCAGAGGATCAATCATGGAGGGTGGGAGGAATTATCAGGGCCTGTGTGGTGGCGTGAAGTTGGGCCGACATGTTTGATGGTTTCTGTGACAACGGCTTAATGGCAGTGGGGGTGGGGGCAGGGAATTTATTGGACTGCCGTTATAAATACGAGATGGAAATGGATAGACTCCATGGCAGTTGGATGAGGCAGCAGTGCAGGATTTACAGCCTGCACCTGCAGCCAATCTCCCCTCCCTCTCTTCTCCATTTAGTGGATCTTATACAAATGTTGGGCCAGAGGTTGTGAGATAATTTAAGATTCAGGGTTGATTAGGACTGCTGGTTCTCTGGTATTCACAAGCAGGAGATTGCTGCAGTGTGATCCCAACTTATGTAAGAATCGCCCATTTATCATTCTGCTTAATGCAATACTTCCCTTACACAAAGAATCAGAATGGATGAGGAGGAAAGTATTTTCTTTTTTCAAAGGAAAGATAATATCTTCATAGTGGAATCTATTCAGGACCTTTTCCACATCCTAATTTCAATTTGCTTAGGGGCTAAATGGAAATTAATGACAGTGACGACACAAACATATCTTAGAACTGAGAGGACCAAAACAGTTTTATGTGTGAAATTAAACAGACTTTTGATCAAGTCACTCTTTGTTGAATTGTAAACCTATTTTCTGCCTAATCATTCCTTCCATATCCATGGACGAGCTGAATCCTTCTCACGTAGACCAGTGTATATTAGTATATCGCTCCTTGTTTTGCAGTAACAAGAATTATGTTTTATGTTGAATTCAATGTATTGTAATACATTTTTTCTATTTTTTTTTAAGTTACCGTTTGAGTTTTTAAAAAATTTTTCCTTAAAATACAGACTGTAAGACTACAATTCAGACAAAGTAAGTGCAACCCAACAGTTACAGTATATCTTTATTCATCTTAACAAAGATTAATAAACATATAATTGAATATAGAAAGTTACTTTTGATCATTGCTTTGAAGTTTGGTATGAAACATCCCGTGTGGGATTCCTCTCTTACCGTTTTCAAATAAGATATTTTCGTAACTACAGTGGTATGAAATGGGCAAAATGATTAACACACAGTAAAATATTATGTTTTCCAACTGATATTCTTACGGTTTTTACAGTCAAATTATATTTTACTTTGAGATTCTGATATTTTCAACTTAACAAGTTAAATTCACAATGGTAACTTTGATCTGCTTTTCCATTGACAAAGTTTAAACAGCGTTACTCACAGTGGCATTTATTTAGTTTTGTGTGGAAATAAGTTTTAATGCCATGAAGAACAGAGATTATTTTAAATCAGCTGGAGGTTTATAAAACCTTTATTTTTAAAAACCACAAAAGCAGTTTTGATGCTTTTTGGCACTTGGTCAATCTAAGGTTGAACCTCTTTTCAACACTGTCCCCCACTTTTAGCCCTCAATCCTATGTTTGTAAGTCGTAGGAGGTCTTACATGTTTCTGCGAAGCAACGGGGGGGAGAAGAACAATGATTTTAATGCCCTTTAAAAAGAGAGTTTACAAGAATACATTTAGAAAAATATTGTACTAACAGTACTTAAGTAGGTCTTGGAGGTCTTGTCAATTAAGATTAAAAAAATAATAATAATCACAACATTCAGAATGCTCATTTACTGCATACTACCATACTTTTTTAATGTCCTCTAAATAGTTCCTATGAAAAATAACCTCTATAACACCTAATCTGATGTATTCAGATGTTATACCGTTGTAAAATTAAATACATGAAGGATATAAAGCATTGAGCTTCTTAAGTCTAGTGAAAATGAGACTGATCGAGTCACAAGTTCTTGTGGAGGACCCAAACACAAAGAAAAAGGCAAACAAGATCCAAGTTAAATCCAAGATCTAACTACGGAGAGGGATGATAAACAAGGAAAACTTAACAAGAAGCAACTGGTGACAGAGGATTGATAATGTGAAGGTTTGACCCTGGACAGAGGGATTCAGGAGGTAATTATTCTGGTCGGGTGATTCTGAGACAAAAACTGGTTAATTACCTGACTGGATGCTACAGGCAACTGAGAGAGGCTGTGCAGAGACAATGACTCAATGAAAATAAAATAAAAACTCAGAGGATACAAAAGCAATTACTCAACAAAGCCTGACTGCACCAAAGTGAGCAGTAACAGAAACCACCAGAATGCACAGAAATTAAGTTCAGATGGTTCTAAATTCAAAACCAGAGAAAACCAAAGTCCTACAGATTAGTAGGTTTTTTGAAATGTACCATTAAAATCATTTTATAGAACCACCTTTGGCAATAAAGTATGTTTTGATTAGTAAATATTTCATACATTATTTAAATATAACTTTTCATGAGTTTACATGATATTTTACTTTTAAGTGTTCCTTTATAATTGGATGTTGATCAATAACTGCTTATACAAATTTATATATTAAGCTTACTGTTTACTAAGTGGTAATTAAGTGAAACTGAGTATATGTCAGCCTGTCTGTTTCATTCTTCAGTGGGATATTTTACTGCTACATGATTTAGGCGCTAAGGGACATCCTATGAAAATAGATTCTGCATCAGTTTAGGACAAGCTTGAAAATTTTAAAACATAAATCAGTCATTCTGGAATGACCTATTGATTACATCATTTTTCTAGACTTGGGTTGATGGAAGGGCGCTACCAGGGAGGAAAAAATGAGAATTCAATATATATAGATGTATTTGCATTTACAGTAACTGCATTTAAAAAAGTATTTAAAAAAAAGCCCTGAAAAAAATGACAAGTTCTTCCAATATTTTACAAAGAGAGACTCTCAGTGCTGCCAGTGCCACAAAACTGAGAGGTGCAGCCATTACCAGTACCAGTACTGTATGGTGAATCAGCCCTCCCAACCACCACCGCAGTCTGGATACAGAAGATTGCTCTGGCTTGACATAGCCTTTGAATTAATCGTGCGTGCTGGCACGGCAACTTAACAGTCAGCAACTCTGCTTGTGATTTGTTTACTGCAGACTCAAACAGACAGAGCAAGTTGAGCCACAAATTTACAGCGAGCCCCATTGACTCTGTGTAATCTCCTCCACCCCTCCCTGCTTTAATTGTTCCATTTGAAAATGATGTAAACGTGAATGCACACAGGCTGCTCTGTGTCTGGCTGCCCACTCAGTCACAGCTGCAGTACATCAACACAAACCCCTCACCGGAGCAGATCGATATGAGCGCATATACTGTTGATGACAAGCAGGAGATCTCTGATATAAATCAGAGAAGATAGAACCTCCCTGAGGTAATATTGCCTGGTGGTGTGGTGGATAGACAAGTTGGAATAGACTTTTCCTCAGACGGGTGAAGACAATTCGCACAGTGAAACACAAATGCGGCCGAACAAAACTAACTCTACATTTATAGTTTTTTGCAAAATGTTTAATAACTCTTGATATTTTCCTCTTTTTGTCAGTATTATTTCAACGTAACAATCCAATGCAAAGTAAAAAAGAATAATATGAGAGTAGAATAATGTGAATCGATGTCGAGAGAGTTTAAAAATAATCATCCAAAGCTTTTAACACAATTATTGGTTGATTCAGTAGGATTTAGTAGGAAAGAAAGTGCAAACAGAGAAAGAAATGATGAGCAGCTGAAACTGAGAGCCCACACAATGGCAATAATCATATGAGAAAGTAGCCAAAAACTGTGGAGGAGCTGCAAAAACACATTTATTACGAAGACAGCAGATAGTTGTACATACTCTGCATTCAGCCTTCATGAAAAGGATAGAACCACACCAATGTGACTACTGGTCTAGCAAAAAATTAAATGCAGCGGCTTAATTGCAATTGTATATAGAAACGCAATGACAAACAAATGTGATTATTATGATCATTTTTTGTGGCATAATACTGGTGACAAGGTCAGATTTATGTCAGAGAAGCTAAAGTTCCCCCAGTATGAACCATTCACTTTAAATATGGGTTTATGTAGCATCTCTAACAAGAAATCCTCCCAGCGAATCAAAGCGCATCAGAAAATAGCAGCCAGTTATTCATAAAACACATCAGAGGATTTAAAACCTAGTCGATATAAATGTGTCATTTTGCATTGACGCACCACCAAATCCCCTCCAATCATCTGTCTGTCTATAGAACTTATCTTGTGCATCCATATCCCTTCATGTTATCAGACGTCGGACTTCACAGAGCTACTGTCTCTCTCAGGGAGCTAAGCAGCTGATCTGTCAAGCAGAAATTGAGATGGACTGGAGTAAAGGAAGAGGGATTCATTAGGCAACTGAGACTAAGAAACCAGAACTAAAGATGAATGAAATCCTTGTTTTAAAAGATCAAGTTAAGCAAAGATGTCGTGCTTAATTAAAAGTCAGGAAGGTTAAATAAATAAGATGGAGTATAAGTAAACATGAGGTGGAGACAAAATTTCATACATTTTTTTTTAAGTGTGTTAGAACTTTTCTTTCTTTTTGCTACAGAGAAGGGCACTGTGAGGCTGTTTGGAGAGAACCGGTTGGCTTTTAAAGGAGAGTTGGTCGTGTTTCAGTGCCAAGCAGCTGGATGGTATCCTGAACCCACTCTGCAATGGCAGGTGTATGAAAAAATGGTAAATACCTGTTTTTGTTTTTAATTTGATTCCTGTCTGATGCCTTCAATGCATGTAAAAATATTCACACTACATTTAGGTTCATTTTTGAAATAGGTTAGGATGTTTGAGTAAAGTTTTGTTAAATGCTTATAACGGTTAGCGAATCGTGAATAATGTCTTAACTACTGTTTTACTGTATCATGGATCCAGGTTTCTGCAAATCATTATGTCATTAACTTTTGCTTTTAATATCCTGTAGCTGACCAACTGTGAGACATTTGTCTCTGCATTCATCCCATCCCTTACGGAGCAGTGGGCTGCACACATTGAATAGTACCTGGGGGCAGCCTGGAGTTAACGGGTCAGGGTGAACTGGGTAATTTAGACCGTCTGCTCTAAATGATATAGGCCACCATTCCCACTAGGCTAGCATGCATCAAAACTCTTTATCCTCAGTTATTTATTTATTAGCTTTATTTGTTGTGTTTGTGTACCCAGAGTAACCATATGAAGCTTAAGCATTAATATTTGTGCTAATTATTGATTGATTGATTGACTTTATAGATCTCACAGTGGAGAATTTTACTCGTTACATCAGCTAAAATAGTCAAAAACAGAAAAAGTCGCTGCCAAAGAAAGAAAAACAGGCATGGTATATATACAGTATATAAAGTGCATCCATATATGACAGCCTTTTTTTTTCTATAGCAGGATTATTATACAGGGTTATTGCATAGGGTGTTTACATGATTATTTACATAGATGGAGATTTATATATATATATATAGCTATTGCACTGGGTGCCAAATATAAAGAAACAGGTTATTGCACAGGGTATTGAATGGTAATGCACATTAGATATTGCACAAGTTGCTATCTGTTGTAGCGTTGAAGTGTAGAGTCTGATGGCAGCAGGGATGAATGACCTGCGGTGGCGTTTTTTTATAAACAGGGTGTAAAAGTCTTTCACTAAAGTAGCTTCTCTACAGTCTGGTTCAGAGGGTGAAAGATCTTGTCCATGATGGATGTATGCTTTGGCTGCACCCTCCTCCCAGCCACTTCCTCCACTGAGTCCAGAGTGCAGCGTAGGACAGAAACGGCCTTTCTCACTAGTTTGTTCAGTCACTTTCTGTCCTGCTCTGTGCTGCAGGGGCCTGCTCACTCCAAGGACCTCAGCCTCTTTAAGAGGTAGAGGCGGCCCTGTCCCTTCTTATACAGGGTGTCAGTGTTTTGAGTCCAGTCCAGTTTATTACTGATGTGAACATCCAGGTATTTGAATCTTTTTTAAGGGTCAAAGACTAACAATTGTGCCCAAAAAGTCAAATGTATCTAGCTTTCCAACAAATTTGATGAAAGGGATCACCTCTTCAGCAGCTATCTTTGACTTTTGACCTTCTCTTACTCTGACCATAGATGCTTAAAGGTATAGAGGATGATCTTTTATTTCCGTGTGGATCATCTTAATAACTGGTCCTCCTAATTGTCAATCATTCTGGTGATGTGCTACATCCTTGCCTCGTTAGCTGTCTTTTTCTGCACATGCGGTGCATCTGTGGCGAGCTACGGTTTCAGGCAGTCACTGAAGCGTCCTTTCTCACCGCGGTTCTTTGGAAATGGCTGAGGGTCGTAAGAGAAAAAAGTGTCTACGAAGTGTATGAGAAGAAAAGAAAGGCCTCAGAAGAGGCAGATATATCCCAGAATAGGATGTGCACAAGGAGAAATGGGCTCGTGCATGCACATTTTCGTTTTAAAGTGGAGAAGGGATTTTAAAAAAATCCTCCACAATACCTTTAACCTGTTATGTCCTTATATCATTGGAGGTGTAACACCAACTACTTTAGGTTTTTCCAGAAAACAATTATCAACCTCTGTGTAAATAAATTCCCAAAGCAAAGGTGACAATAGATCAGAGGTTAACAACATATTGCATCATACACTGACATGATGTTTTTTAAGATTTTTGACAGAAAATCTGCTTTGGTTTCAACACCTTTCTGATGGGCTATTCGTTTCAGCCTTCAGCAAAAATTCATTTTGATTTAAACTTAAATCAAGTTAAAAAGTTGTCTTGTTCAAGGAATATATTAATTACTTATTGCTTTTTAATGAAAGCTCTCGTAAATGTCAAAAATAGCATGTTTTCCTATGATTTACTGCAATTTTGCCAAATCTAATCTGTAATTTAGACGAAAAAAAAATGTGTGGGAGGAAGACTTTCACTTCCATTAAATAAATCACTGCATTAAATTTTCATTAAGTGGATTGGAGCATGGCCTGAATGAGATGAGTCTTGATTTATGGATCTGAACCTGAGGAAAGTTTACCCCCGGCTCTGTTGGCAAGAAATAAATCATCAACAATGCCAGTGTACTCCCTTGGTTGGAGTTCCCAAAAAACAACTAAAATACTGCAGCATTCACCAGAGACTTTCCTTTTCTTCACCCTCTGGAATTATTTTCATAAGTGGAAATTAATGTCATCAGTTCATCTTGTAATTTAAAGATGTCAGAGCAGTCCCTACAAGTCTTTAACATTTCTTTGTGTTCTAATTATTTCTAACTAACTTTACTGATACGAATGGCATTTTTTGTTGGCCAATTGGTATATTTTGAGATGAAGTTCAGTTCTTTTAGAATCAAATGTAGTGTTTTTTGTGTTATTGTTTATTCTCAAAAATGCAGTTTTAGCACACTTCTAAAATTTGTCATTTAAATTTCATTATTTCTTTATTTGGGGATGACAGTGACTCATATTTTGTTTTCTAATGAGCAGGTTGTCGGTTTAATGCCCTGCTCTGTCTGTCCAGTGGTGGTCCAATAGTCTGTTAAGCTCCCTGGTCAAAATAAGCTAATTTTCTGGATTTTTTTGGAAGGACCAGAAATATTACTATTAATAAAAATGTAGAAAGAAACATTCATTCTTTACAAGTTAAAATTTAAAATACTATGAACTGTATAAACAAAAAACAACAAAAAAAAAAACAATCACTATAAACAAACATACAAATGTACAAACAAATATGGCTCCATGTCCATTGCTTAAGGTCGCTGTTCAGCTGAAGTGTCATTATCAAACATTTATTAATAACAAAGGAGTTACAGAAGGCTAACACAGCTTTTCTAAACGAATGTTGTGACTAAAGGTCTGTTACACTGGCAAAGCACATGGTTAACAGCTGTTGTTAAGACAAGCAACAGGCACACAAAAATGCCAAAGTTTTTTTTACTAAGAGTAAGATAAATTGTTGCTGTGGTGTAGAGAAGACTCAGGAATGGTTGTTTAGCTGACTGCTTATGATTGTTTAAACTATTATAGTTGTTTTTTTTAGTAAAAGAAAAAACACAATGAAAAACCTGTAAAACATATTAGCTTCAGCCAACTATATATATATATATATATATATATATATATATATATATATATATATATATATATATATATATATAATCCAAACTACATTATTAATTTCTTATATAGTTTGTTTAGGTAAAGAAGAACTAAAATCTTCAAAACGCTAACGTTTTCTTTTGCTATTCTATTTGTTATTTTATTTAACAATTAGTCTACAACCTGGCCCACTCCCAGGCCAGAGTAGAAATCTAAATCCTGTCCCGTCCCACTCCTGGTGAAATTACTCCCACTCCCATCCCGCTCCCATTCAGAATGACTCCCGCTCCTGCTCCACTCCCATTCTTGTTTTTGAGCGTGGGTGAAAAACTCAGAGCGGAAGCACTGTTGGTTTTTGGGTTGTGTAGTTTTTTTTGACTCGCATTATAGTGTAGGCTTCAAGGAAAAAAAACTACAAAATGGCGGTGCCAGTACTGGATTTTTTTTCTTTCTATTTTATTTTATTTTTTGGCATCGATCCTAGTTTATTTAAGTTACTATTGGTTTGCTCCCACTCCCGTCTGCTAATCCTGTACCGTCCCAATCACGTGATCGTTACTAATACTGACTCCCATCCCACGGGAATCCCACGGTAATCCCGTGACCCGTGGGATTCCCGAAAAAATGTCAGTCTCTAACGTGCAGCGCATCAGGCAGATAGCTCGCACTCCTCCCACGCATGTTAAGCCATACATACACTTTCCATTGACTTCCATTTATTTTATGGCCTACCCCAAACCCTGATCATTACCAAAACCTGACCTAAACTCAGGTCACACCTAGTGTGATCTTCCTGTTCTTAGAAGGAATGTTTCTCACAGAGTGAGTAAAAAGGAAAGAAACATCTTTGAGTATTAAAAGAATTGATTCCAGTCATGCTTAGCAAAATCATTGATATAAGCACAGATTTTAGAGCAAGTCTTTACCTTCTATGTTTTAGGCCCACATTTCTAATCATTGCTGTGGAAAGAGCCAAATTGCCCCAGAGTTAGGTTTCTTCCTCGACTTTTCACAAAGCTACACATCCTCTCAGGGTGTGCCTTCCAAAGTCTATAGCGGTTGTCTCTGAATCTGCCCACAGGCCACAGAATTCCCAAATGAGCTAAACGAAGAACCTCAAAGGTCATCTTAGCCTTGAGCATTAGTCCCTTTAACTGACTTACAAGGAGACTGAACATACATATAGAATGAGTAGTAACTGAAGACAAAAAAATAAAATAAAACAAATTAACCTTCAACGCACTTTAGTCCTACCCCTTACTGGGGACAAGTCGACAAGTATCTGTAAAGGGCTGTTTATACTCCTGCAGCAGTGTGTCGCAGTGAGCTTGTTGGAGATATTTTTGATTTATGCCCAATATTGAAGCGTGGTCTGCCCTATGTTATTCCACATCACAACGCAAGAGGGACAATCGCGAACTAGCTGTGGGCCTAGATATGGCCGAGGCGGTGAGGATGTGGGGGCAAGATCCAGGTGGAAAAAGGGTCCCAGCGTTCTCATGCACCTCGCTCTTCTAGCTGGTCCAACATCACGAGTCGTTTTTCACAATGGCGGTCATACAAACAAAACAAGTCGGTAAGGTACCAAACTGGAGATATGCTTAGATGTAGATCTGACCAATCAGAGGCCTCCTGTCTGCGGTCACCTACAATTTTGGGAGAGGTGCAGCAAATGTCTGCAGAAGGGACGGGGGCACATTTGGGTTCACTGCGACACACACGCAGACGCCCTGGTTTCTAAATATAGAAATCAGCCTTAGGTCCTCACAATGTAGATAATGTAGAAAAATAGATCAAAACAATGTATGATGATGATTTTTGATCATTCCAGACCTGGCATTTAACAGGTAAAAAAATTATGACATTTCAGAACATCTGTTGTTTTCTTAAAGACTGAAATCCTTCATGACATTCTTTGCAAAGCAACTTGAAAACCAATATGTACTTTTTTTCAAGTTGGCATTATTATTTGTTGGCATAAGGCATTTCTTTACACTTTTAAGTTAAGATCATTAAGCCAGCAAAGAGACAATAGTTTGAATGTATGAGGTCAGGAAAGCAGAAACAGACTCCCCAAACCGTACTTACACAAAGATATTGACTTCCTCTATATTATTCTTGAGATTAAGTGCAGCTAACAAAGAATTTAAATTGATATTCTAGTTAGAAATATGGAAGGAGTTAAGCAAATTTATTTTATTCAGGGGAATCAGAGTGAAGAGATTAAACACAAATGTATCTAAAAAAGTAAAAAAAACAACAACATATAATTTCCCTCCCAAGCCTCACAGCGATGCACTACTTTATGTTTGCCCCACAAAAAATGTATTTAAATATGTGTTTGCAAAAAAAAAGATGAAAGTTGAAGCGATGGAATAGTTTTGCAAGGCCCTGTAATTTTTTTTTTTTTTTTGGGAGAATGTGACTATTTTAGAAAAAAAAAGAGTGCCTTTAAACTGCTTTTAGAGGATTAAAAAGTTGATTTGATTGAGCATTTATCCCATCATTTTCGGTTAATAATCAATGTATCCCACTCAAAGCATTTTCCTCAATTATGCTGGGAACTGATTATTAAAATGGGTTTTTTTTTTTTTTCTTTTTTAAAGACAAAATGAATATTTCCAAAACCTGCTCAAAGCTGTTACCTCTGCAGGTTCCTCATCATTTCTTAAAAATATCATGAAAATTGTTCAACATATTTTGATGAGAATATGCTTAAATTAAATGATTCCATTGGATCTTTGCGTGTAGACCTCAAAGTATTATCGGGATTAGCCCTGAAAAAGCCACAACCATATAATCCTCCACATTTCATCTTAATCTGCTTAATTGATGGGACAAAAAACACAGCAGAAAAACATCATTGTCTATTATCTAATTGCTACATTTTTTGCAGCAAAGCAGGAATTTCCAAAGGATATCAATCTTAGTAAAATATCACATCCTTTATGTATATCTTCAGTGTAAAGGCATATTTCTTTTAACATTTTAGATCAAAGTTCTCAAATGGAGCAGGTTTGCTTTTTCATATTATACAGTATACGGGAACATGCGATGAACCAAAACACTTTTAAGTAACTAATCATTTGCTACAAAAATAGAAATAAGATAATGTCCTTAACTGTGGGTTTTGTAATCAGAATCAGAATCAAAATCAGAAATACTTTAATAATCCCAGAGGGAAAAAAGGAGATTTATAAAAAAAAAAAAAGAAAAAAAAAAAAAGCTTTTCAACCATATTTCAACAGAATGATTTCAGAAAATAAGCACCTAAAACAGACCTGGACCAAAATCCTGGTATCCCAAGTAAAGATAAAAGAATGTGACTAAAGGGACATTCATGTTAAATCAAGATTTGTCCACCAATTAGCTGTACGGGTGTCTAAAACCTTGTAATTATTCATTGGGCCTATGTATAGGGCTACTGCTAGTCACTGTGCTGTTTGGTGTCATGGCGTGTACCACACTCAACATGCACCAGAGGAAGTGAAGGAAATAGCAGAGAGAAATGTGCTGCTCAATGTCAGAGAAATTGGTCTCAGTCACAGGTCATGGGTCTTCAACAGGATAATGACCCAAACGACACAACTAAAACCTCCAAAGAATGGCTGAGAGGAAAATACTGGACTATTCTGAAGTTTCCTTCTATGAGCCCTGATCTCATTCCTATCTAGCGTATTTGAAAGGAGGAGAAACATGCCGTTTGCAAAATGGCCCCTTCAAACCTGAGACAACAGGGCAACTTTAAAAGCAACACAGATCTATCTGGGTGAATTGCAGACAAATTCATTTAGATTCTAAAAAGCTTAAAATAAGTAATTAGATTTGTTTGATGAATAACAGTTTTCTGTCTGGTTTACTTCGTCAAGGTGAGCAAGGATGAATACAACATCACCTTGGAGGAGAAGGAGAATCTCTTCACTGTCTCCAGCAACCTCAGCATCCCAGCAGAGAGGAGCTCTGCGGTGGGCTGTCTGGTTTCTGTGCCTGCTCTAAAAGAACCTCTGGAAAGCAGCCTCAATCTAACAGTGGGTGAGAACAACGTTCAAAAATAAGTTAATCTGCATCTTCTAGGATTTATTTTCCATATTGTAATGGTTAAGATTACAATTTACTTTAACGGTGTTTTGTGGAGTGGTGAGGAACATTTATCCCAAAGAAATTCTTAACTGTGACTTAAGCTACCAGTTACTCACTAATGTAATGTAAAGTAATTTTCTGGGACCCTCAGTTTTATCATGTTATGCATGTATGTACAGTATTTCTACTGAGAGGTTCTAAAAAAACTGGATCTTTGGATCATTTTAAGATGGATCACCCTTTCTATTTCTGATAAGTTGCTGCTCTTTAGGAATCAGGGGTTCTGCAGCCTTTGCAACTTAAAGCATTTGTGCGCTCAGTCTGGTGAAATAAAACTCCTTAAGAGCTAGAAATTATTATCTAATTATTTATTTAATTTTAGTTGCAAAAAAAAAAAAGGAAAGCATACTATTTTTTATATTGGAATATTTTTCTTCTGCAGGATGTAGATATTTGTGGAAAATGGTGTGACAGAAGATACTGTCATCAATCTACCTTAAAAAGTTATCTGATACCCTTAAGGAGTTATTTATTACAAAGAATTAAGGATCAGGCTTCAATCCTTGAAAAGATTATTGACTCATCTATTTATTTTTAATGGTTGCAAAACAAACAGATACAAGTATATGTTTTCAACACACTTCACTAATCAAAATTACAGGCTTTATTTCCAAAATGAATCAAGCCACTCTTAAAAGATGTAATTTTAACAAACTTCATTTGTAATCTCAGTATAACAACTAGCTGTGCAACCGTAAACAATTTTGTTTTCTCTGCAGTTAGAATATAAAACAAGATCATACTCCCTTAAAGTACCAATGAACTTTAAATCCAAAGTCTGGTAGGGATCTAGTGACCACGGGATATAAGTGTTTTGGACGATAACATTAATTGAAAAAAACCTTTAACTAGAGTATTTACTCTCTTTGCTTCATCAGGTAGAAATAAAGAGTTGATATAGATTATAGTTCAAGTCATGGTCACTAATCTGAGCTGGTTAGCATACTTCCTCCATGCAACTAGATCCAACAGTTCAACATAAACTCTGAGCAACAAGGTATAATTTGAACCATCACAGTTTGTTTTTGGTGTAATAGACACAGAAACAGGGGAAAAACAAACAGATAATCAATAAAATAAAAATCATTATTGTTTTCTAACTTTAATCTTAAAAGTCTGACTTCAATCCCAGAATTCTGACTTTATTCTCAGAATTTGGCAAATGCTGACTCCAATCAGAATGCCTGCTTTAATCTCAATTATTTACATACATTATGACCAATTTTTAATAGATCTACTTTATCTAATTGATCATCCTGGGCTTTGGCGACAGAGTTCGAAGGAATCTAACTTTCATTCCGAGTATAAAGTCAGAATTCTGAAAATCAAGTTTTTGTTTTAGTGGATGTTTTTTTTTGTTAAATTGCCCTAAAACTCTTCCATAGATGAATGCAAAGAATTGCACCTAGAAACTTTATAGACAGTTTTCTCTAAAGCTTCCTGCATTTGAGAAGACCCTGTTAGTATACAGTGACTTAGAAGTTGGAATCATCTTATTTTTAGACACAGTACTGTATGTGATGCTATTGCCCAGAATTAATTTATTAAGTTTTTGGAAATCATACGTTTCCATTTCTGTTTGCTTGTTCAACAAATGAAAATACAACTTGCTATGCTAACTAGGATGAAAGAAAATATTTAAATATCCTGTTTGACATGTATATTTGTTTTCTACAAAATTGGCTTGTATCTGTTGTATCAGATTTGCGGAACTGTGTGTCAAATCGGATAAACAAAATTATTTAGGGCGTATTTTACCATTTAGAATTATTAAAAAGAGAGAAAATATTAAAAATGTCTGAGGGCTTTAAAATATATGAAGATTACTCAAACTGCAATTAAACTTTTTAGTTTGACTCATTTAATGTGCTTCTAGTTAGATTTTATTTTTTCACTCTCTCTGCTATTACTCTAGGTAAGACAATTATTATTCAGATTTTTTTATTACACCCCCACAGCTTGAAATCAAGCCAATAAATTATCAAAGAAAAAAGTGAATAATAATCTTTTCAAGGATGGAAGACTCATCCTTAAAAAATCAGTATAGGCATTGAACAGTGCTTTAGCACTCTACTTCATGCATAAATGCCCATTTTGCCCCCAGCCTAAGGTATATCAAAGGCATTCCCCCAATTTCTATTATTTTAAGAGATTTTTTTTTCAACTCAATATGTTAAACCTTTCCTCCCCCTTTTGTTTTGGGAAGCATGTGAATCATCATAGAGTAAAGAGGAGAGGAAAAGAGGAAAGGGTTACGAAACAGAAACAGCATAAGTTTGAATCATAGCAGCATACAGGTTGAACGACTGAAAAGACCACATTTGTAAAAACATTTTTTTTTTTTATCTTTTCTTTTTGTCCATTTTCATCTTTTACCACAACAGATACTATCATGACAAAAATGCACATCTCTCTGTGACTTTTCTGCATATCTGTAGCTGGATTTCAGGTTGTTTCCATTGCTTCAGTACTCTGTAATAAAAAAGAATGATGTGACCTTCTCTCTTAAGTCGCAGAGGTGATCAAGGAAGAGGATGACTGCACAGTCCTGGTGGCAGTAAGCGCCTCTCTAGCTGCTGTTCTGCTGCTTGTGCTGCTTGTCCTGCTCTCCATAAGCATCGTCATCTGCTACAGGCGGAGGAAAAAAGCAAGTAGGCACTTTTCTTCTTCCTTAAATTGCTCTAAGAGAACAAATGTCAGCACGGCCCACAATTTTCCAGCTCAGAAACTGTGATTAAAGTATAATAAAGCACAGAGGTGGCTGGCTGCATGCTGGGACAACCCTGCAGTAGCCTTCAACAAGGGCATGCGGTATCTTTTCTGACAAAAGCAGAACATGGTTTGTCAACAACAGTACACTGTAGGCACCAGAGATGGGTGGTAAATCAATAGCAGAACAAAATGTGAGCTATTTTGTACATAAAAACATTTAGAGTGATAGATGTGTATTTTATAATAACAATGATAGCACAAAGAATTATTGAACTTTTAAAGTTAATAAAAAATATATATATATTTGCTGTATTATCTGTTGTTTCTGAATAATATCCAAAATTAAAGAGACAAAATGATAATAAAAAAGATTAAAAAAACAAGAAACCTCCCAAATCTATGGCAGCTTTGGTGAAACCCGTTCCAGGATTCTGGAAGTTCCCAAACTCTAGCATGTTGCAGTTTCAGTAAAACAAAGAGGCATTTTACTGATTGTATGCAGTGTGGGAAGACAGTAACCTTGGACATGTTATCAGTCTGCTTGAAAACTGGAAATAGTGCGCAGTGCCTTTAGAAACATGAGGTCCTGACTCACACTTGGTTTCTGCTGGATGAGTCAGTATGTTTGCATAGACACAATCTACTGTAATACATGGCTGCACGGAGAGCACAGGATATTCTGGACATGGGAATAGTTTGATTTTAGAGCTGTTAAGCTTTGCAGCTGTTGCTTATAATTATGGGGAAAATTGGAGTCAGAATCTAAAGTTTAAATAATATCACATCTACTAGCGTCACCAGTGGCCGAAAAGTTTAATTTGGATGGCCAGGCATGTGCTAATGTGCACTGTGAGGTGGCTTAAAAAAAAGAGAAAGGGCTAACCTGCTGCACAGGAAAATAAATGGGCACAAGTTGTGTATTTAAAAAGAAAATCACTGAAGCAAAACCAGATTTTCATGAAGTCTTGTAAATAAACCTAAACACATATTTACAAACAATGTGTTCTAATTAATCATTTATGGTTTGGCATATGCTGCATATGCTTTTCTTTAATAATATAGGAGTCTCCTCGATGGATACAGACACATGACTTTCTTTCCCCCATGTCAAAAAAGTTTCATGATCTGCCCTGATAGTTGATCTTAATTGTTCTTTTCACTCACCTGCCTAACTCTGCCTGGTCTCTAATTACTCCTTATGCTATCCACCTGCACCTGATGCTTCATATACGGCTCAGCCCAGCAAGTAGAGCCAGATCACTGTTTGATGCCAGTTTGTTAGTTTGTTTCGTTAGTTTTGAGTTATTCTTGGGTTTATGTTCCTGTCCTCGGAGGCCAGTGGGTTAAGAGGTTTTAGTGTTTGTCATGTCTCCTGATCGTGTGCTGGCTCCTAGGATAGAGTGTAGTTTTAAGTCCCGTAAGCGTGGTTCCTAGGTGGCGACAAGTTTAAAGTTCTGCAGTAATCCGGGTACTATGTCTTGTCTCTGTCCCTCAACCACTGAGCCTGCCTGTCTGCATCTGTGCGTTTCTGTCTTCTGTCTCCACGCATGGTGTTGCCTACTGTACACCTTGCAGACTCTGGATTTGAACCCCTAAGTCTGTTCTTTATGCATAGAGCTTGCAGATTCTTTAATATGCATGTAAGCATTATCTGTAGTTACATTGACTTAAGTCTATAAAACAAACAAAAAAATGCACATTCAACAATTGCTCTTAGAGGGGATTGTTTTGGGGTATGGTTGTTGTTATCTACTTAATGCAATTTAATCTGGAGTTATTGTCCCCGTAACTTTGCTCAAGAACTACGGATGGAAAAAAGCTATTAGCTAAAGCTTTTAGGGATGTCCCGATGTGATATTGATATCAGATATTGGCAAGATGTTAGGCAAAAGGATACTATCAGATTATATCATCCTACAACTAAAATATCAGATATTAACATGCTGGTAAAAATGTTCCACTTCTGTCAAATTCCATTGGTTATTAGTTAATGTATCAGTTGCTCTTATACTTATTATTGTTGACTATGGTTCTCTGTTTGAATAATATCAATTGATCAAACCTTTTTTTTAACATTCCATACTATGAAAAATAAGTAATAAGAGTTGTTTTTCATCTGGATGGTCAGATGTTAACTGCCATCCAGGTGGTTTTTCCTGCTGCATATAGAGCTAGTTTAAAAACCAAAACACAGCAGTCTCTAGTTTGTTCAGTAACGTGATGCAAACTTATCTTTAATTGAAAACCATCTATATCGTTGACCAAGAAGCAGGGACAAGTGGAAAAACTACAGCAGTGTAGCTTTTTCATATAACCATTTCACACTGGCTGAAAAAAACTGTTTAAACTTGAGAACAATTGCCTTTTAGTGGCATTGGGAGCAGTTCACTGACCTGGCAGCAACTTGGCATATAATGCATGTCAAAATTGCCTCAGCTCTAATCAGGATGCTGTGGGAACACCAGACCCAGTTCAACACGCTAATTTTATGCAATACCATTGGACGTCACCACACTGCGCCAGTCGCATTTGATCTAACAAGCCAAAAACAACTCTGTCTACACTCTATAAAGATGGTGCAGCACTGGTAAAAGGGATGAAACATTGAAAAGTGCTGACTGCGCACTGGCTTCCATACATGTTGCTCACCATTATTTACTTTCATTATTTCTTTTGCACTCGTGAGAGCATCAACATTTACCCAACGTGATGGCGTCACCAAACATGCAGCTGCAGGGAGACAGAGGCCATGCAGCTTGCCAGCGAGGAGTTAGACACTTTTTTTTTGCCACTGGGAAGAGAACAAAATGCTGATTGTTTGCTGGTCGACCCACGTTTGAAAAACCTGCGATAACCCTCTAATTTCAACGGTAAAGGGGCTATACATTCAGCCTCTGTCTGTGCATACTCACTTGGTCAGTGGTTTCATTCTAGACAGTAATATAACTAATCTTTGATAAAAAGCCAGTTATCTTTCTTACATTTTTAATTGTTATTGTAACAAAAGCACGTTATAACATATGTAGACTAATCGTACTCCTCTTGCAGCAGTAGAGGAGATGAATAAAGTACGCAGCCATTCTTGAATAGATTACAGAAGTCTTTGATTAGTTTTTTTATTATATCATATGACCAGAGGGCACGTTTTCTGCCCCCTTTTCTTCTCACATGAATGGTTATACCTCCTGCATTCTCATAATGTGACTATCATTCTCAATATTATATCATTAGGAATAATACCATTTAGCATAATTAAGGCCCAGAGGTTATAAAGTCTGTGCTTCTTTTTTGTGGGAGGAGGAGGGCTCTCTGTTTCTGTGGGATAACAAGAATACTGCAACATTTTAAGACAGGGTAATCCCTTGCACGAATTCTGGACCACTGCTAAACGTGGCTTTGGTTTGGATCTAAAGGATTAGCTCAAAGCAGCTGTGACCTTTGAAGTACCTAAAACGTCTCAGCCCTCCAATACTGTCCTTGCCCTAGTCATAAAACTGTGAAGGAATATCCATAATTTAAATAAAGTTAATAGGGTGTTTCAAATATCAAAAAATGTTGATACCAGAAGGCAGAACACCTTTTTGGGTAATTTATATCACTGAGGTGTGAAGCCTGCTTTCAAAATATCAAGAAAGGGGAATAGATGTAAAAGAGGAATTTAGTTAATGACAGCATTGACTTGAATAACAATATTAGGTTGGGTTTCTTTATCTGTGAAAGGAGCTTAAAACCCTCCTGAGGTAAGATCCATCTGCAGCTTTGTAAGGATGCAGCCCGTTTTTCATGACCACCAGCATCTTTAGCAAATGCAGCTCGTAAAGCCATGTTACAAAACTCATAAATGCTCAGCTGCAGCTTTTACTGCTGAGGTACAAAACCAACTGGAGGCAATGATACCAACGCAGGGCCCGAAGCAAATAAACAGCAGGACATTTACAGCTTTCTTATTGCTGTACTGTAGATGCTGTGGGCAAGCTGAGCCGTTCTAGGCACAATGCTATCATAATCATAAAGTTAGCACCTGATAACTCATAATCCTGAACTTTATCAGGTTTTTTTTGTCTTTTTCAGAAAAAAAGCAGCAGGAGGTGATAAGGTGAGATTTAAATGCTGTTTCTTTTGTACTTCCTTATGCAGCAACATTTCAACAAGGATTTAAATAAAACTACTAAATGTTGAGCTTCCATTAATCGTTGACGTACAGCCCCTTATCTTGCTGCACATTTAATTTATATTTAAGCTAATTTGAAGATTCAGCATGATTCTTTGTTGACATGCTAAGCCAATGTTTGAGACTGAATAAGCCCTTATTGATCCTTGTTACAAAAGAAAATTAAGGACATGAATTAGAAATGACATTCTTTAAATGGTCTTTGTCATTTATAAAAACTTCATTAAGATTTTTATTGTCAACGCTAACGCATTAAACATTTTATATGTCAGCATTTTTCACTTAAATGAAATCCAGAGCCACAGTTGAGGAGTTTTGGTTGGCTCTAATAAAGCTGCCTGAAAAATATGATGATGCTCATTTTTTATCTGTCAGTGCACTTTATGCTGAGGACAATACAGACGGCCTCTGATATACTGCTGCTCTGGGGGAGTAGAAATTGTCTTTTCACAGCAACATGGCTTCTAACAATGTGACTTGCTTTTTAAGCTAAAGGTTATCTCTTTCATTTTCCATCCTCCTGGGCTTTTGCAGGTTCAACCAATCGCTTTATGGAGGGAACCCAGTTGCCGAGGCGACAGGCGGGAATGTGAATCAGGGGTTTTCCAGTGAGGACTCAACAGGTGAGAAAATGCAAATAAAACAGCAAAATTGAGTACATAAATGATTCATTTAGATTTTGTTTTAGGTTTACTATACTTTCATTTAACAAGCAGTGAACAGAACCATGTGTTTATTTTTTTTTTTTACATCCAATCTTTGCTATGTTTCCTATTAGAGCATCTTAATTGCCTGCTAGTTTGTTCTGTACCATAACAGCTGCTAACGTACAGGAGCCTCCCAGTCTGCATCATTTGAATTCAGGATACAAGCTACCTTTATTTAAAAACTGTTTTGTGACACAAACTTTAGCTTCACAATGAAAATCTAAATATTAGGTTTGTGCAGTCCTGTTGGAAAATGAAATTAGCATCTCCATAAAGTGCTCAAAAGTTTATTCAAAGATGGCTGATTTGATCTTTTACCCATTTTATCTTCATAACCTATGATTTGCCCAAGACACAAGCTAATTAAAAAAACTGATTAGGGCCCCTGGCCAGCTAGCCCCCCAACTAAAATTTACTGTTATGTGTTTTTTTTTCTTTTGCATGTATAATGATTTCTAGATTAATATAATTTGATTATGAAATTATGCATTTTTTTGATCAATATATCTCATATAGAATTAATTAGTTATACATAAAAAACATTTATTGGTCTTTGGGTCAGATTAACACACAGACAAAGAGGGACAAGTGTAGCTTTCTGCAAACTTATCTTCAGAGAACAGAACAGTGATGAGAGTTCAGTTGCTTCAGAGATTGTCATTATCTCCTTTCTATCTCTTCTTTCTTTCATCTTTTCTCTTTTGTTTTTCTTTTTTCCTTTTCTTCTTCTGTAAATCTGCTCTATTTACATTGCAGTGTCCATATAAACTGTAAAACTCCGTGCATAATTATAATAAAGCAATTTATATGCATGAAACAAGAGGAGCTATATGGCAATTGCCATACTGCTACACTTGTGAAAGGAAAATCTGTTGGGCTCTTTTTGGCATCAAGACAACTATTCTTATTGCCACATTGCCAGACAGGACACTGTAAAAAAAAAAAAAAAAAAGCAAAGATGACCTTATTTAGTCACCTGAGCTGTGAATTTTACCCATCTATGGGTAGATCTCAGGCCTCTCTGGGTTGCTCTGAGGCTGGCCTGCATTCCCCCTGTGCCTGTTGCATCTGCAGAGAGAAACTTTTCCAATTTCAATTTAATAAAAACCTACAGTACCTGAGATCTTTCATGTTAGAAGAACGATCCAGTGGGCTGACAGTGAGTTAGTATAAGCAACAAAGTTTGCTGCCTGATCGCTTAAAGTGATAACAGGGATGATATTAAATAGAAAACCTGGAAAGCAAAGAGCTGAGAAAGAACCTGTGTAATATACAAAGGTCATATATGCGGAAAAAGATCATTTATGTTATCAGATAGGTGTTGTATGTTAGGTTACATACATTTACAGAGTTTTAGGTGCTAACAACTAAACTTTTAACTTAGATTTTTATACCTTGATTCAGGTAAGTTTTTATTTCTGTTACTTAGGAACATGTTGGATATTTTATCATTATTTAGATTCAACCACGTGTGCTTTTGCACAACAGAATTTCTTATTTTTATTTATCAAATCTATTTTATTTGTTGGCATACTTGCACTGCAGTTTATTTTTGCATGTTGCTTTGCAACTGAAATTCAGAAAAAAAAACTATATGACACTTTCACTGTAACTACGCTGCTTACTCATTTATTTTATTACTTTTAGTAACAGTAGATTATAGATACAAATAGGATGCTGTAAAAGCACTGCTAGAGCTGGTGTACATTTGTAAATGACATGCTCATCTAACTATTGATTGCAGAATTTGATGTTAATGACAGGAATAAAAGATCCTAAATTCAAATTTGGTTTAGTGTCTAATTGGAGGTTGTGGTCAGCCCTGCGACACCCCATGAAATCAGAAACTTCACACTAGACCTCAAGTAGAAAGGATTAAGTGCATCTCCATTCTTCTCCAGAATATACCTTGATTTCCAAACAAAATTCAAAATGAGCTTTTACTGCAATCAAGGACTGGGGATCAATTCTTAACAATTTGGCCCATTTTCTCTTTAGTCCAGGTAAGATGTTGTGGATATGGTCTCAATCCCATTTACAGAGTCCTTCAATGGCAGCTTCCGAAGCTCTTACTTCATCAACAGTCCATGGTAGACCATATAATAATTCTGTTTTAAATTATTTTAATTTATTTCGTTTCATTTGATATTCTTATTCAATGAGAAGCAGAATTTATTTTTAAAAGCTGTAACCCTTAATTATTACAAATGAACAGATATGAATGCAGGAAATGTTCACGCTTCATTAATCTATCAATCAAAGTTTATTTATGGAGCACTTAGTGACAATCCAGCTGGTGCTCAAAGTGCTTTACATGTTCGGACTGCTTAGCTAATAAACATTTCAAAATTAGGATGAATGCATAGCTGTGCTATTCAAAAAGAAATAAGATACAGTATATAAAATATGTACTTTTTAAAATAAAATACATAAATAGTAGAGATATAATCTGGACGCATCTAGATAGGTGAAAACACATCAGCTGTAACTAAAGAAGAACTGTAATTCATTTGCAATGTTAAAAACCCTGTATCTGTTATATATATAGTTTTAAAATAGATTTCTTTATCATTGACACAAAGTTTAACTTACACTATATAAATACCCTTACTTTGAAATGTTATAACTCTCATTTTACCTTTTGTGGAAGGCGATTTCATTTAGAAAAAACCTTGATGGTATGTTGCTCTGATGAAAAAAAACAATTAGTGGAAAGGTTTGTTAAATTTTATTAGTTTCTATTTATATTTAAATTCATAAAATTTATTTGGAACTGAAAATTGTATTTAATTTCATGTTTAGCAATTGCTTTGTTGTGTGATACATGGTAGCTTGTTTGAAATATTTTCAAAAATAGATTTATCTATTAATTGTGTTATCATTATTATTTGTTAATTATCTGAAATAAATTATTTTCATTCATGCATTGAAGATTCTTTTAAACATTTTATTTTGCAGAGGCTGAACTGCTAAAGCCCCTAACATTTAATTTTATTGTTTCAGATATTTTTTATATTTTTTCTTAGCATTGGGTCCTGCCTCAGCAAGGCAGGGGCTTTTGCTGACAGATGTAATCTGGGGCAGTCGTGCACCTCCACACTTCTCCTGCAAACCATGTAAACTGATGAAGCTCTCTAGCATCACTCATTCTGACTGCCTTTGAGACCTTCCTTCTCCAGTTGAGCCCTGACAACGCGGTGTCCTAGATTTACAGGATTAATTTAGCATTTTGTTCCCTCACTTGGCAGTTTTTCACTTCAGCTTTGAAACATGGAGCCAAAAAAAGATAGTGGTGTTTCTCTACATTCTAAAACATTTCTTGATTTTAATTTCACATGCATACTTATCTCTAACTTTTGTTTACAGCAAAATACTCCCAATGATTCTTTTTCACACATGAAGCCATTTCTCTATGAAATGCACTAATTTTATATGTGTCAATCCATTTTTTATAGAATATCATATATAAAATGCTCATAGCAGTACCTCTGGCTGAAAACTGCAACAATCCTTTAAAGTCATCAAGCTTCTGAACCATATTTATTGTTACTTCTTCCACCACTGGTTTGGTGAAGCTTTACAAACCTTTGTCACATAGAAAAACATTTTTAATGCCACCTGAGTCTACCTTTAATCTAGTATATGGTCTACAGTGGTTGCTTAAAGGATAAGTTCGGAAACCAAACTGAACTGTTTTTTAATCTGCAGGTATGGACAGCGGTGAGTTTATCTTTGGAACTCGCAGCCATATGGACTTTGACACCTTCCACCAGGTAATATCAAGGAGGTAAAGTTGGTTTAAAAGGAGAATGACAGCTTAATGGATACTGGCAAACAGAGGAGGAGAGCTAAATAAGAAAGTGACCAACTGAAGCTGAAAAATTGAGTTAGTTCAATATTCTGTTTCTGCAAAATCCTGCCAAGACAAAAGGAAACTACATGATCTGCTGCTCATCAAACACCTTCACGGTTCATTTGACATGATCAAAAACTGTGAATTCAAATCAGTTTACTTTAAAGTAAGTTGTGCCAAATTAAAAGAAAGCAATTGTCATTCAAACGAAACACTAAAGACAGACAGACATGTCCCTTTTTTCCTGTTATATAGAATCTAAAAATAATTTGATATAATAATTAAATTAGGCTTTTATATCTCCAGAGAGCTTTATGCAATCTCAACATGGTATACTGTATAATTAAAGTTCCTAAGTGTCTCAGTAATATGTTTTTATTTCATGGGCTGCCCTTAAACAGCAATGTGTTGAAGTTTAAAGTAAGAGGAGATGCAAAGGCTTGTTTGACCAGAAGAGGTTCTGACAAAACTACACTGTGACACTGATTCATGGGGGGAGCATGAATATGAACGTGTTAGAGCATGACATTATTGGCTGGAATACGGTGCAAATGAAATGTGTGAAAACTGCACATGTGAAATTGCCTTCTTCTCCAATTAACCTCAGACATGGAGAAGCTCTAGACCAGAACCCCAGTTTTTATTTGCTTCTCGATGTTAACGTAGATCCAAAGAATTGACTCTAAAGAAAAAAGTTTGCTTCTTTTTGATCAGTATAACTCCAAACCTTTTTTTTTTCCAGGTCCCTGATGTTGTACACTCCAGCAGCCTCTCTTTGCACACTGAGGGCCAAAGCACAGAGTTTCAAGAAGACAGAACATACAGCGTTGTCAGAAAAATTACCACAGTTTAAATACTTTCCTTTTTTTGTCATTTACTGTCAACGTTATATACTTTCTGAAGCAGCACCATAGTGTGATATTGAGCTTAATGTTTTTCAATAAATGGTTATTTTAGATGTGCTGATATTCTCTGCGTATTCTTTTATTACCTATTCAGGCCAGGGTAATTCATTACTCTCTGTACCTTTTGTTAGATGTGTTAACAGCAATTTTTACTCAGCTGAGACAGAACATTGCTTTATAGAAAAATAAATATTTAAAAATCCTGCAGAACGACTGAAAACTTTAATATTTCATGCCATAGATTGCCCTAGGATCAAAAGGACAGGCTTTTACATGCTGATAAGTGAAGATATTTACACATTAAACTGGTTATGATAAAACTTAAACAGCAAAGAAAGAAAGCCTTTAACAAAAATCGTTGATAATTTTAGTATCTTCATTTAAAGTCGTGTCTAACAGGTTTTGGATTCCAAGAGTAATTTCTTCTTCAGCCCCATCGTTATAAGTTTATTGGTAATATTCATCCCAGCAGTTTTTTAAAACACAGATTCAGTAGTAAAGGTTTGTGAGAGCATTGCCATTGTGAGAAGTGCTGCTATGTCAGCACTGTTGTGGTAATGCATGTAATCCTCAATTTATCTCTGTGTGTTATGCTTGATTAAACATTTACATTTCTTAATGGTTAGAGATTAAGAGGAATGGTTTGGTAGAGATGAGGAATATACATCTACTGGACATTACAGGGTTTCTTGTACTTTTACTGTTTATCTTGACATGATTTGCCCGGGTGCCTGTCTCGTCAGATGTAGAAGTTTGCCCTGCAACCGGAGGGTTCAAGCCCCAGCTTAGGCTTTTAATGTCGCCTGCATAGAGCAGCCCGCTTCTTTCAGTGAGACCCAGGGCAGCTGTGGCCACAATGTAGCTTGCCACCATCAGTGTGTGGATGTGTGTGTGTAAATGGGTGAATGACTGAATGTGGTGTAAAGTCTCACGTCATTTACCATTAACAATTTTTCAAAGATCTCACTTACTGCAAATTAAAATTTTCTTAGATAACAGCAGATCTCTTTTTAAGATCACAAACTTTTGCTTGCATTGTAAACTTCTAAATCTATTAAATAATTCTCAAAACCTCTAAAAGACATTATGAGGTAGTTGCCTACATATTTGCATATCGGCAAAAAAATTTATGCACATTAGTGAGTGACTGGGTGAATGCCACTCTAGTCTAAATATCTAAGTGGTTGGTATGAGATTTAGTCAATCTACTATTTAAACTCACCTAGGATTTAATATGTCATTTCGTTTGTTTTGCCTAAGAGATAAGTTAATGGCTGAATGCAAAGAGCCCCTCTGCCTTGGGGCTCTTAGCTAACTAGCAATTAAACCTGGAAAGCTCAGTATACTATGAAGCACACGGCTCATTTCAGCAGAAGATAGCAGCCTGTTTAACAGGAACCCAGAAGAAACATGCTGTAGTGTCAGGGAAGCTAGCTCCCAGCTATAAGGTAAGTCCACTCTAACTTTTGACGTTTGAGAGGAAGTTTCACCAATTTTAAGAGTGACCCTAAACTCTGCACTTGCTTGTTTTGGATGAGACGAAAATATAGGAATTTCCTGTCTAAAGCTCTATATGCCGTCAACTGGCTCTATTCTGGAAATTGTGCAAAACTTTCACTATAAAAGGCTGCAGTCCAACCCACCGCTTTGGCATTCAGATATCATGTTTTTTCTCAACTTTGCAAGAATGATTTCTATTCATAAACCCAGTTGCAAAATTGCTATGATATTGGCATGTCATGCATACTGCAAATGCTGACAAAATGCATATTTTTCTATTGTGTAAATAAATATGCACATCAGGAACTTTATTAGGGAAAACCCACCTGCTACATGTTGAGGATCATTTTCCCTTCAAGTTTTCTCTAAATCTTTAAGTTTTGTAAGATACACTCTTTAGAAATTTGAGTTGCTATTAACATAATTATGTCCTGCTGTTTCTCCTCTACTGGACTGAGGCTTTTCATTGGTGAGGCCTCTGAAGGACAGTAAACTCATTTTCATGGTAAATAATTCAATTTAAGAGAGTTTCTGCTTGTAGAGATTGCGCATTATCGAGCTAGAAGCAACCATGAGAAGATGTTAACAAAATCTCTTATTTTCCATTCTTGGTGAGGCTGTGCTACATATGAGCTTGGTTTTATGTTCAATACAGACAGAGGAGAGTTGTTTGTGGTATCCTATTGACCTTGAGGTCTGACCCGTTGTGCCTTCACTGGTGAACTTCAACATAACCTGTATGCCCATTTCTCTTTGATTTCTGAAACCAATAAGATTTTCCACATAACTGCAATGTAATACTGAACTAATTGAGTTTCTGAGTGCTTATCTCTCCA